CTGCTACTGGTATCAAGTGCATGGCTATAGTATGGTAACAAGTGCATTCTTGACATTTTCCAGACCCAATGGCCTCTTCGGTGGTCGCTCCGTCCGGCTCTCGCTTGGCGCGCTTCGGATGGGACGAACGGGACACACGGCGTCCTGCGCCGCGGCGCGGCGGTCGAGACCGTGGCGCGCGGCGCGGGACCGGCGTGGCGGTCTCCGTCGCCGTGGATGGGGCGCCTTCCTGGTGCGGCTCCGCCGATGAGCGTCCGATCGCTCCGTTCGTCGCGTCCTTGTTCCTAGTCGTAAGAATGCTCCTAGTAGCGATGCCAGGAGCCCCTAGTAGCGTCCTTATGCCTAGTAGTATGGCCAGGAGCCCCGTTCGTAGCGTCCTTTTGCTCCCACCGGTTTCGGTTTAAGTGAATGCCTTGACAATGAATTCAATGAGTCCTTCGAGTCCGAGGCTATAGTGCTATAGATATAGTGAAAGAGTCCGTGAAACATCGCATTCGGACCGGCATTCGGAGGAATCCGGGCAGCTTCTGAATATACCGTATACATCCGCATACCATTTATTAGAACAACACACGTATTCAACCATCCAAGGAGCTCTTGTTCAAGGATTTGTGTACAACCACACCACTAGACCAACGGAACACCTGGATCACCGGAGGATGTCCCGACAGATTCCGCGACGGATGTCCCGACGGGCGGACTTCCGAAGCGCCTCATCGACGGCCTTCTTTTGGGCTCCTCGAGATGCAAGTCATGTACATGGAACTCTATCATCTATCACAGTCTGTCCCCCAATTATCATTCTTTACTGGAACATTCTGAAACAACTGTTTGACCATGTTTGTCAGTGGCACCAACTATAGTTTAGAATCCACAATCCTAGCCTTTCTTTCGCGCAGGTCTTCACCACAAGGAGTGCACCCTCTGCGCCTTTGGCCCAGGAGCGTCCCATGGACCAACCAAAGGCCACGCGGGCGCGTTCGGCCACTCTCAGTTGCAGCTGCAAAGCCTGGACTGGACAGGGACGCTCGAAGCACCGAATGGAGACCCTCTGAAACCACTGAGGCGTCAATCCCGGTCTTTTCTGGGTGAAGTCCTTGGGCGTCTTTTCTGAGGTATCCAAGTCACTTGCAATTTGCACAACTGTTGGTGAAGTGATATCTCAATCGATTGACTGTCAACATCCAAAGGGGTCCGATGTCTCATGCGCTATCATACGCTGCTACGCTGCTGTGCTTGAGCACCCACCAGCCGGCGCTTTTGTAAAGCGGGACGCTGGTGAAGAGCACCCTTCAAGTGCAACAGATTCAATCTGTATAAGTCGACACTACTTTAAAGGTCTGACCAGTGTCTAAAACCTGTGGACCATTCTTCCAGCAAGCAAACAATAGCAAACACACCAATAGAACCCAATAGAATAGAATTCATATTACTTAGTTGCAGTCAGTACATTATTGTACATTATGTTTTGTATAATTTGAAAACTGTAAACAAATGCAAACCTCACATACATGCTGAATTGTCAGTGAAAGCCATATTTGTTGATTGAGAAAAGTTGATCCCTCATTCAAGGTTTTCGACACCGACCCCAGCCTATCAAATTCGCTGGATATGTCACTAAAAACACACATGTTCTGTCAAACTCCCCCCACTCTCGCCGTCAGAGACCGCGCTGCCGCGGCAGCGGGCCGCCTCGTTGGAGGTCTGGGTGGGTCGGACGCGAGTTCTGAGCACGCGCAGTTCTGCCCAAAGCACCCGCAGAGAGGCCTGCAGCTGCTTGAGGCACCACTGCGCCGGTTTTTTTGGTGTTTGAGGGAGTAGAATGCTGCACTGATTGGGATAGGAGAAGCTGATGTGTTTTGTTTGAATCCAATGGGTGGTATACTTAGCATGTTAGATGAGTTTTGCTTCGCTGAAGTTCCCATGAACTGAGACTACGCACGACCACGACTCCCAGCTTCGTTTCGTCTTGGTTGCCGGGTTCTGTACTCGCACGCAACCACTGGTGACTGTCATGGTCACACAATGGTCTGTTGTAGGACCCAAGCAAAGGCCCAGTATATTAAGTATATTTAATTGTTACCAAAAAAACACTAACTGTGAATACCATGCTTGTAGTTTGTCAGCAAAAGCGTGATCCTGGAATATCCTGGATAGTTGGAAGGTTGGGAACTCTGAGGATTGTCAAGATTGTCCGTGCAAATTAAACATTTGAGGAAGGTTGCCAGAATGAATGACCGTGCATCACATAACTATGTGTTTACAAGCTTTGATACGGTGGGCTACTCGGCTGTGCTCACTAGAATGGAACAACTTGCGGATCATCATGTGTTGCAATATGATGCACCAGGAGCAATGGATGGTGCTGTGGTTGTTGGTTCACTAGCGTTTGCCTTAGATCTGGGGCATCAACGAATCAACGAGGGAATATTTGCTAGATTGAATTCCCATGTGCTATCTTATTCAGCTATGTCCGCACAAATACTATTGATTTGTACATCATCTTTATTGTTCAAGAGGCTCGCCTCATGCTCAATAGTTTTTGTTAACTCGTGCTCAACTCGTTCTATTTGCACAGTATGATTAAGTCTTACGAATATCACTGAGAATCACATTAAAGCATCAATGCTCAAACCAAATGCCAAAGGATTGTTTGGCCCTACCATTGCCCAGCAAACAGTCATACTAGTAGTATTCAGTATGATTCTAGCAGCATTACTCATATTTTTCTCTCAAGGTTCCTCTTCCCTCTTGGTTGGTCTGTCGTATTGGTAACTGTATAGCTCCTGGTCCTTGTATGCAGCTTGGACCTGCTTGCTGTATACAATACGATCTACATGTTGTTTGTTCTTGATTTGTATGGAAGAGTTCAAAGATTTTGTCCAATGAATTTGGACATCAATCACTCCCTAAAGGCGAAGTGAATCTGACATCTTCTTTGACTCAGCATGGCAACCGAGGACCATGGTCTGGCCTGGCTGACGAGGATCATGGTTATCATGAGAGGGGGGACTTGGAGGGGAGCCTCAAAACATGTTGTTTTACGTCCCCCAGTCCCCCCCAAAAAAGAACACTCAAGGTAAGGGGGTGGCGATGGTCCAGACTTAATCCCTCCTTTGGTGGGCCAAAGAGTGTCAAACAGTGAAACACATCGAAACCCCAAAGACTCAAACCCTCACATCGAAAAGCGCAACCGGCTGCGCCGACCAAAGGACCCCGACCCAGCTCTCGGCCTCAGCCGTGGGTGTGGCCACCTGGATCTTGGAAAGCAAATCCCGGCAGAGTTTGAGACCTCAACGAGGTCATCCGAAGCAACCGACGAGTCGACGAGCGGCACCCATCATTCCGCGACGAGTCGACGAGCGGCACCAAGAAGCCCTAGGTCCTTTGCCCGGGACATGCGAAGTTTCACAAGTAGATCCCCAACATTGGTGCGCATTGATATATATATATATATATTTGTATACTTTTGCTGTCGTCGAAAGCAGCCGTCTACTGTACTCCTTCGGAGCGCTTTTGCTGCACAAAGGAGAGTCCTGTTATCCTTTAATGTTGAGAGGCACGACTT